TTCCGTTTTTTTCCCTTCGAGGTACGGAATCCTAAAAACTGTCTAAATAACCATGGTAAGGCTAGAGTAGAATTTGTTAGGAATATTGCACATACCGCTGACTAAGGGTTCTTGGGTCTAAGGGATTTAAAAGGAATTCCTTTGATATAATTTATGTATCCTACAATAAAGACGTAGGAATAAATGAGAATTTAAAAAAATACATGAAGAGATTGCAAAATTAAATTAATAAAAAAATTATAATCAGACACGTTTATTTCCGTCCCTTTTTTCTTTAGAGTGTACAGTCATTTGAACCTCACAATTATAAATAAATTCTTTATTAAAAAAAAAAACATTTTTCACAAAAATGGTGGGGATGTGTCTTCTGAACTGGCTTCTCTTATTATTTAACTAAAGTCATAGAGATTTAATTAATTAGATCTGAATGGAATTATAGATGGAAATAAATTCCAGCTTGAAACCTTCACTCGTAGTTGAGAAAAAGGGTTTTGACAGACAGACGGACGGACAACAAAGTGAACCCTTATAGGGTTCCGTTTTTTTCCTATGAGGAACCCCAAAAATGACAAAATACGTGCTAAATTACAGTAACAGTTTGCTGTAGTTTCCATATTAAGTGGGATACGAATTTAATTCTTTGATTGCAAATATACGTTTCAACTAATAACAGCATTAGGGATTCCAACGTTGCAAGAGAGCTTTTTAAATTTTAAACCCTATGTTTTTTATATTCCAGTTAAGTTGAACAAAAACAAAGGAGACTGAAAAAAAGATTCGAATCGCATTTTAAGTGGAACGAAAAACAAGCGACAAAAAAAAACATTAAAAAGAATCCAAAAGTTGTTTTGGTAAAAGCAGAACGGGAAAGTGGAAGCGATTCAAAGTAATTGTTATGAAGTGAAATTTATTTTACACTCATTTTTCGTTGATACTTTTTGATTTGTTGTTTTGTTTTTTTATTTTATTTGCGACTTCAAGTGCAAGAACATCGAAACAATTTTTGATTATTAAGGTTCGTTTCGTTTTCGTTCGTTCGTTTTGTTTCAAGCAATTGATTTTTAAATTATTCAAACTTAAGTGAGACATTATATTAAACTGATATATAAACACGACTAAACAATCAAGTATATTCGTCCGGTGGCGGCACCGATTAGTTTCTAGCCTATCGAGGGCCCTTCTTCAGGATGAGTTGTACTGGTATTATTTCGCGGACGCGGCCCGTCGCAGTGAGCGAAACTAGTCGGTGCCGCCACCGGACGAATAAACGTGAGTGTTTAGCCGTGTTTATATATCAGTTTAATTGATTTTTATATATAAAAGATTCCTTCCTTTAGTATTTCCTATAATACATTGCATAAATTCTTTGTTAATAATCATAAAATTATAATATTACTGTTAACAAAATCATTATGTAACCATGTAACGAGGGTTGTAACAATTTAGTATTAATTTCTTGCACGCAGTTTCAGCACCTTTGGGAAATAACAGACGAGATTTTACTCCAGCTACGAGATAATTGGAGATAAGTTTACTTGTTAATGTACGACAACGGGATTTAATTTATTTATATGATTTTATGAGAACATTATAGCAATTATATTGTGGAGGAATCTTTGATATAGGATATAAAAGTTAATGTAAATAAAAAAGGAAATAACATAATAATATGTTATACGAAGTTCTCCTGAGATAGAATTTTAAGCATTTTTTTAATAGCAATGTAATATGTGAAATAAATTATATAATTAAGTAAGAAACAGTGGATTTAGCTATGGTATAAAAAAAATAGCCTATGTGTTCTTCCAGACTATGTTCTATATATATGCCAAATATTAGCGAGATAAAAACGGCAGTTCTAAGAATACTTTTTTTTTTAAATTGAGTAGTCACTGCCTTGAAGAGGCATTTACAGCTTCACCGGGTTTGAGGTGGCCGAGCGCAGATAGCGTTTAGCCTGAACCTCGTTTAAGAGTAACGACACTCGAAGGCTGTTAATTCGTTAGAGTTACCGGATTGGAAGGCCACCGAGGTCTTACATCAGTTAGGTGGAAGTTCCATGGAGTGACTAGACTCAAGGGCCCCCGAGAGGGGACCTCGGTTTGGGCTGTCAGTCTTCTAAGGATACATACTAACCAACATCTAAATATTCGCATTTATAATATTAGTAAGGTGATCAAAATTCAGTTATTAAATACACATACTACACAAAAAAACTAATAGCAAATTTCCGAAATACGTTTTCTTTAATACAGAGTATTGAATACAAAAAAATTCTCACAAGATGTCGGGAACCATCAGTTCAATACTCTACTGTAATGAAACTCCATTACTGTGCGGATCTCTAGCGCCAAGTTATTTAAGAAAACTATCACTGTTTGAATTCCCTCATTTATTTCGAGAACTACAAATTATTCTTTGAACAACAATATATCAAATTAATATTGTAAATTAATTTCTTCCAATCTTTTGTGCAAATTACAATAAAACAATTTATAATATACTAGATGTCGCCCGCGACTTCATCCGCGCGGGATTAAAAAGGTAGTAGCCGATTTTCAGACCTACTGAATATTCATATAAAATTTCATATAAATCGGTCGAGCTGTTTCAGAGTGAGGAATTTTACTAGAATTTTATATATAGGACTAGCTGTCCGCGCGGAATTGAATAAAAAACTTAAGAAGTAGCCTATGCCTCCTTCCTCATTATGTTCTACATCTATATAAAATTTCAGCGAGATCTATATAACTGTTCTGGAGATACTTTCAAACAAACATCCATCCATCCATTTATAATATTAGTAAGATTATCAGGAGAAAACATTGTTAGGAAAAAATATGATCAGACCTAATCAACTAATATTCATAATACAAAGATTTCCTTCATCATAAAAGGGGCTAGCTTGGTGAGGGGTGAGAGTGATATCACGTAACGCCATCTGCCATCATCACGCTCTAATCAGGGGATTATAAGGGTGCGAAACGTTAATCGTCCTTAGAGACTCTTATAGGATTTCGTTTACTTCATAAGTGAGGTCAACGTTATTAGGGTCATGCTCATTTCATACATACGTGACGAGAATGTAAAGTCCCATACTCTTTTCCTTTAATATTCAATCTTAATTGTCATCAGCTCATGTCCTCAACGAGTTTCCTACTCTATGTTAGTAAAGGCCTTAACTAAGTTGGCCATGTTGGTGTATTTCATAAAAGAAAGACGGATAAAGGTCTTTATTAATACGTGTGCGACTCCGTCCGCGTGGAATTAAAAAACTTCATAAGTAGCCTTCGTGTTCTTCCAGACTATGTTCTACATCTGTGTCAAATAATGTTAAGATCCGTTGATGCCGTTCCGCAGATATCTTGTAACAGACATCCATCCATCTAAACTATCGTATTTATTATATTATTACGATATAAGATTTTTTACAGACAGAATGTTAGAAAATATTTACCGGTATAGATTTTTCTTTTTTTTTTTTTAATTGCGTAAATCTTATCTTATTCCTTACTTATATTATAAATGCGAATGTTTGGTTGGATGGATGTTTGTATGAACGTATCTTCTGAACGGCTGTATAGATCTCGTAAAAATTTGGCACAAATGTAGAACATAGGCTAAAAATTAAGTTTTTTTTTCATTCCGCACTGACGGATTTACTGACTAAAAATATTTTTTTTATTTAGTGAACAAAAATACTAGATTACCGACTCGTTAAACTAACGAGAAATATTTTAAAATTAAATTACGATAGTTATAAAATAAAAATTCGTTGTTACATTTATAAAATATATTGTTCAAAGTGACAATTTGTTCGTTAGTTACTAGGGTACAGCAAACACTCGCCCAATTTTCATTGTTTGCGTTTGTTAACTACTCTTTTGTTTTATGCATACATTGTATAGCTACTTAATTATATTATCTAACTCGTTCGTGTATTGAAATTTGAAATTTAATTTTTATTAATATTGTGAATTTTTATTTGTCCTAATATCAGCCCTTTTCTTTCCGAATTATAGGCACAATATATACTGTCTTACTAATATTATAAATTCGAATTTTAAGATGGATAGATGAATGTTTGTTTGAACGGCGCAACGGATCTCGATTAAATTTGGCAGGGATGTAGAACATAGTCTGGAAGAATAAATAGGCTATTAATTGAAGTTTTTTTTAATTTTAGGCGAACGGATTCGCTGGCGACAGCTAGGTACTCCGTACATATCTATCAGCCATCTGAATCCACCCCCTTCTATGCTTAATATTCTCTTTCACACAATCAAACCATACTTTCTTTGGTCTTCTAGCTTTATAGCCATCCACATTCAATCTTATTAGTTCTTTGTTTGTGTGATCATCATCCCTCTACATAATAGGTCCACTTACCTAACCTACCTCTCCGTTTTATGTATGTGGATGGATGTTTGTTAGAAGGTATCTTCAAAACTGATTAAGTTACCTCAATATAGTGTTACACATATGAAGAGCATACTATGAAAAGATACATTTCTATTAGTTCATTTGACTCCGCGCTGATAGAGTCGCTGGATAAAAGATATTTCTTCAACTATGTTCATAAAATTTCAAATACTATAAATATTTTTCATTTTTCGGTTATCAAATATAGGTCTATTATGTTTATTTTTGCTCTTTTAGTTTAAAATTATTTACAAAAATAAATTTAAACTTTCATTCCTTTATATTTAGGTAAATTAATTTGAGCAACCCCCAAAAGGATTAGATTCAGTAAGGATATTGTAAAATGAAGCCAGATTTTTGGCAAACAGTTTATAAAATTAATTGGAACGTTGAGATTTATTTTTTAATCTCGTTGTCATGGCAACCGTTTTGGTATCTGGTTTATAAATAAAATGATGAACCAAAAAAATATGTCAAGTAAAATCTGTATATAAATTTAAAATGAAAACTTTTTAACGCATTTCACAGATTATTTCAAATAATTTTTCTTTTCTTTACAGATTCATTTTCTCCATTAAAGAAATTCAAACACCAACAACAATATCGAGAACATAATATAAGGTGAGATTTTTTTTTATATAAACAAGTTCCATATTTAAAAATAGCTATTAATCTTTTTCTGATTTTCTAAAAAAATCAACAAAGGACGAGTTTTTAAACCACAATCGCATATACGCCTAGATGTTTTCAACGATGTCCAATTTTCTGTATCTCTACGACATCAACAAACAATAAGTTAGAGTGCTTCGCTAACCCTTTGCTCACGTTATCCCTCGTTCCTCAAAGGAAGATATACAATGTACATTCATATACAATAGCGTACAGCAATGTACAATCAAGGCGTTTCGCGGTGTTGAACTTACAGAAAAATCATGTTTCTTGCAACGAGACAAACTTCGCTTCCTCATACAATATTACTAATAAGTAGCAGTGAGTTAGTTGTTGGTATCGTCGTCTCAATGCTTAAGAAACATGCAAATGACTCGCTTTTAAGGTATACCGCCAGTTTCCCCGATTGTACAATACAAGCGCAATCCGAATTGAATCCACGCCAAATTCAGTTATCGTTTCAGAATAGTTCTACAGATAACGTTTAAATAGCTTTAATATTATAGAATTTTAATACAATTGCTAGTACAATTATGTAAAAAGATAGATTTAGAAATAATTTAATAAAATTGGTAATTTGTTACAGGAAACACAAAAATAAATCCGGAGACTCCAGTATTGGTAAGCATTTAATTGTTAATTTAATTCAAATATTATTGCTTACTTTTGCCCGCGACATTGTCTATTAATTAAAGCCTTGGTCAGATGAGTATTTTTTTAAGGTTAGGTCTATTTATGTTATTCTCTTAATGTCAAAAAATTATCATAAATCTGTAAACATAATTGTAAATTGAACGATATTAAAAAATATATAAGACATCGAACTTATGTCTTGGGAACGTTTTATAAATTAAAGAAAAGTTTTAGTTGTTTCACGCTACGATAGTCTTTACGTGTTAAAAGTAGACTGCAGCGAACTTCTGAAGATTGCAAAGTTTCAAACCTTCTTACAGTTTTAAGTGAAACAGTTTTTCTAAATTCTTTTACTTTTAAATTTAAAAAAGTCTTACTTCTTACTAATATTATAAATGCGAATGTTTGGATAGATGTTTGTTAAAAGGTATCTACTGAACGGCTACATTGATCTCGCTTAAATTTAGCATAGATGTAGATTGGACAGGACAGGAGCGTCGGTGGCTCATTGGTTAAGCACTTGACTTGGAATATGCAGGTCCTGAGTTCGAATCCCGCCATGTACCAATGTATTTTTCGATTTCTGATATACATATGTACATTTATCCGACGTTCTTACGGTGAAGGAAAACATCGTGGTGCAACCTGCACATATCTGAGAAGTAATTCAAAGATATGTTTGAAGTCAACCAACCCGCACTTGGCCAGCATGGTATGGCCTAATCACTCTTAACTTAGGGTAGGCTCCGAGCCCCTAGGTGGGGACCTATAGTGAGCTGATGATGTAGAAAGCCTGGAACGCAAGACTACTAATTTTTTTTTTATTCCACGGAATTGGCGTCGCGTTCTTATTTTAGATGTTCATAATTTAAGTTCCACAATTATGGTACTTGTATTTGTGTATGTACATCATCATCAGCTCACTGTATAGTGAGCTGATGATGTATGGCCTCAGTGGGGATGTATATCCCCACTGACGGGCTCGGAGCCTACCTTAAGTTAGTGACTAGAACATATTCAACCACGCTGGCCCAGAGCGGGTTGACTTCACACTAATATTTGAATCTCTTCTCAGATATGTGCAGCATCACTATGTTTTCATTCGCCGTAAGGTAAATGTACATATGGAAATCGAAGATCGAAAAACACATTGCTACATGAAGGGATTTGAACCCAGGACCTGCAGATTTCGTGTCCAGTGCTTTAACCTCTAAGCCAGCGACGCCATGTGTGTACATAGTATAACGTAATTTCATTACACGAACACACAAAGACATACATTTATACTAATATTGGAGTAAATATTTGCGCAGTATGTCAACAAACTGTTCGAGGAGAGCGTTTGTTTTTCTATTCTGCTTGAAGGCGTAATTGGTAGTTCAAAGTTTCTTTATTTCCCCGAGGAAATTTACCTAAGGCTCCCTAACATGCCAAAATTGATTCCAAAAAGTTTGGAAACTTCGGTACATTAAGATTGCTTTAAAAATAATATTATCTGGCATAGATTATTATCTATGGCGAATAATATATAGAAGTCTTTCAATTATCAGTGTATAAGTTTGTATGTATTTGAATTTATATGTATATAATACCAATATTATTATATAAATGCGAATGTTTAAATGTTTTATATTTGAAGATATCTCCAGAACGAATGCATAGATCTCGCTGAAAAGCATAGATATAGAACATAGTCTGGAAGAACACATAAGCTTCTTAGTTTTTTTTTTTAATTCCGCGTGGACAAAATCACGGACAACAGCTAGTTAATGTATAGGCTAGCTGTTGTCCGCGACTCCATCGGCGCGGAATTAAAACAAATCATAATTAGTAACCTATGTGTTCAAACTATGTTCTATATGTATAACAAATTTCATCGAGATCTATTCAGCCGTTCTGGAGATACCTTCAAACAAACATCCATCCATCCATCTAAACCTTAACATTTATAATATTAGCAAGATTTAAAGTTTTGAAGGAGAAGTTAACCATTTTTTTTTAACATTTTGTGTTACAACTTAATTTGCAATTTATATTCACTGTCATGATAAAATTTATTTCATTACGAATATTTCGTTGACAAACTTTTTATGACATTGTAAATAAAACTAGTCGTAATTGCCAATCAACTTCTCGATGTTAAGAGCTACGTACACAGAGAGGTACGCTCTCAACTACCCTATGATTGTTTAATGTCGTTGGATTTGTAGTTTATTTTAGCTTCTAAAGTTATTCTTTAGTAATTTTAACAAATATTTACATTTAATTAAGACTTAAAACTCTTAACCTTTCCATTTAAATGTTACATGTTTTTGATATTTAACTGGACAAAATATATTTATCTTTTGTCTTAAAAAAAAGAAAAGAACTTGATAGTTGCATATACTTGCAATCTTACGAATATTATAAACGCGAAAGTTGATATTGTTGGATTGACGTTTGATACAAGATATCTGCGGAACGGCTCAACGGATTTATGAAATGACATAGGTTTAGAACACAGTCTGGAAGAATACATAGGCTACTAAGCAATTTTTTGTTTTAATCACCGCGAATGGAGTCGCGGGCGACAGCTAGTAAGACATACAGATTCCAATATCGACAATATTTTTATCAAGTAGGATATATATTGTACATTATTAATTAAAATCCAATGGAAAACTCAATTTAAGTTAGGAAAATTGAATTTGTCCTTAGGGGTAAATATCGTACCCTATTAAAATCGGATCGTTATTTTCACACGTGTCCCATTTCAAAGTTTTTACTTTTATCTTAACCGCGTGGATTCCACTTAAGTGATATTTGTTTTAAACCGGATTTTGTTCAGTGTTTTATTTGTAAAGTTTTGGGATGTTTGAGTTCAACATTATAAAACTAAGGTTGTAGAAATTTTGATTTAATTTAATGATTTTATCTATTCTAATTCAAATAAGGCTATAGGTTTAAAAAGTATTATCATCATCAGCTCACTGTACGTCCCCACCGAGGGGCTCGGAGCCTACCCTAAGTTAGGGGTGACTAGGTCATAGTCAACCACGCTGGCCCAGTGCGGGTTGTTTGACATATCTTTGAATTTCTCCTCAGATATGTGCAGGTTGCATCACCATGTTTTCCTTCACCGTAAGGACGTCGGATAAATGTACATATGTAAATCGGCAAATACAAAAAACACATTGATACATGGCGGAATTCGAACCCAGGACCTGCAGATTGCAAGTCAAGTGCTTAATCCCACCGACGCTATCTTACTAATATTATAAATGTGAATGTTTAGATGGATGTTTGTTTGAAGGTATCTCCAGAACGGCTGAACAGATCTTGCTTGAAGTTTAGCGTATATGTAAAACATAGTCCGAAAGAACATATAGGCTAGTAATCAAGTTTCTTTATACCACGCAGACAGAGTCGCGGGCAACAGCTATAAACTAAATATTTGTCAATATAATCAGTTCAAAACTAGTTTGTAACTAAACGTTTCTATCCAATTCAGTCCTGTTTAGTAATAAATGATTCGATTATTTTAATTGTGAATAATGCAATGTTTCGGAACAAGCAAATCACGTTAGCGATGCAATTTGAACTGTGCGTTCCGTTGGTATTTGCTTTGTTTATTAATTCAGCTATTACAAGTTAAACATCGACTTGAATATAACTGGTCGCCAGTTTTGAATTGAGTCCATTTGATTAACTGAATATGGCTCTATGCAGTTTGCAGATTATCCTGTAATTTTTTTAACTTACTGACCATTGCATGATTTTTTATAAACATCAGCAGAGAATTTTGTTATTTACTATTATAATATTTTTGGTAACCACTCCAACTAATCTCTAGGCATTTGCTTAGATTTGAATGACAATATTCGAATGATTTTGAACGCACGACCATAAGGTTGAAAATTCCGTGACATAAATCATAAGATTATTGGTGATTAAATAATACTTCTTACTCTTACTAATATTATAAATGCGAATGTTTTGATGGATGGTTGTTTGTTTGAAATTTGGCACGGATGTAGATCTTAATCTGGAAGAAAACATAGGTTACTATTTAAGTTTTACAAATCCGCACGGATGGAGTCACGGGCGACAGCTAGTCCTTTATACGCATTAAAATAATGGATATGTGTACAATTATAATACTTTTCATAAAACTTATTTTGAACTTTTCTTTCTATGTATTAAGGGAGCCAAATATATTAATATTCCAAACACGTTACATTGGAATTGGGTATCGGAAATAAGAGCAAATTAACTAGAAGCATTACGAGAATAAAATGTTAAATCAATGTCTTATAATCAGCTAATTTTAAATATAATGTATACGAAAAGGAAGGAAAAATTTGCTACCAAGACAGAAATTAGGAATTATAAGCTGTCGCCCGCGACTCCGTCCGCGCGGTTATAAAAAAACATAGCAGCCTATGTGTTCTTTCAGATTATGTCCTATATGTATGCCGAATTTCATCGGTCAGCGGTTCTGGAGATACCTTCATGAACACATGCAATTACATATGCGTTACCTTTAATCAACGGAGAGATTTAAAAGAGAAAGAAAAGAATAGAAAGAGATTTAAATGCATTAACATTCGGAAAATCAACAAAGAACTAAACTTAGGCCTCCGGGAAGCAAAATCGGAATTGCTTCCATTTGACACCTATATTTTGATTACTTAAGTTCTTCATTATTTCTCTGTATTAAAGCTATTCTTTTTTTATTTGAATTATAATTAATTAAATGATGAATTGAATTCAACAAAACAAAGAATCCTGTTAACAATATCTGTTTATAGCCCCTTCAGTGTTGGAGTCGATTTCAATTTCCCGGCTATTTCCGGCCACTTCTTGTCGCAATACGCCTTTGTACAAGTACTGGGAATTCTGCAATAAATGTTTCATTTTCTTGAGCTTATTATATAGAGATATTTTATACATAAATTTTATTATAGTTACAAATTAATTCTCTTTCATGAATGTACTTTAACTTATCA